GGTCAGCATCTCTGCAATGGAGGAATGGCAAAACTGCAGAGGGGAAACGAAAGGAGGAAAGGGGCAAACAAGACAAGACAGGAGGCGGAGGAAAGTCGGCCAGGGCTGTGAAATTTCCACGGATTCGTGAGGGGGTGGGGGGTGCCCCCCTTAACTTTCCTCAGATTTTCTCTTCCTCATTTCACAGCGTTTTTTACAGCGCAAAAAGATGACCATGTACAGTAAGGCGTTTTGTGAATTGTTCCTTGGTGAGAGTTTGAGCGCCAAGAGTTGTGCGGAGAAGAGGATCAGAAATTGGCTGGCCATGCACGGTTTTGAGAACACACAGGAAGGCCGCGGCCGGAATCAAACCCTGCACCTCTGCGCTGTGATGCAGACGCACTAACCGTTCCACGACCACACATGAACACACCACATTGTTCGATAGAAGACCGTTTTTTTTTAAAACAATACGAAACCATGAATAGTAAGGTTTTTTTTTGGAAAAGTATTTTTGAAGTATAGTAAGGCGTTTTTCACAACAAAAAAAACGACCACGTATAGTCAGGCGTTTTGAGCCCTGCTCGTCTTTTTGGGGGCTCAAAACGCCTTACGATACGTCGTCGTTTTTTTCGGTTAAAAATGCCTTACTGTACATGGTCGTCTTTTTTGGGCTGAAAAAAAGGATGCAAAAAAAAAAAAAAAGGAAAGTGGAGAAAAGGAGAGAAAATGGAAAAGGAGGCGAGTCAAGGAAAAGAAAGAAGGAGACTAACACAAGGTTCATAAAATAAGAAAAGGAGAGGAAGCGAAACAGAGGAACGGTACAGAAAATGGATTGAGGAAAAGAATGAAGTACGGAAAAGGAAAGAAACGGAGGCACGGAAAAGAAAGCGTAGGAAGGCAGTCCGCGGGACACAACAGAACAAAGAAGAGCGGAAAAGAGAAAAGGAAGGGAGAGAAATTCGAAGGAAGGGGGTAGGGTGTCAAAGGTTGACGCTGATCACGAAAGACTCTCAACAGCCTTATGCTAATTTTGCTAATGCTGCTAATGAGCGTGACAGATACGAACGCGCGTGCGCGTGCGTAGGAAGCTGCGCCCAGCGATTTATTTCCTGTTTAATCACGTTTGGCAGCACGGTGTGAGCTCAGCGTCAAGGTGGATTTATGGTCTGCCTTCCTGCGTGCTCGCGAGGAGGTCTTCCAACAAGTATTTGGAGCTTGTGGTCCAATCTGGTCTCCTTGCAGCTGCATTGAGGAGATAAAACGCGTGTGCCATTGTGTGTGTGTGTGTGTGTGTGTGTGTGTGTGTGCGTGCGCGCTCTCGATTTCCAACACAACACAAATTGTTGCTCATGGCAATTTATTGCACACGCACAGGTCGGAATGTGCACAAACCAATCACACCCACTCAGGACTGAGGCTTGACGCCTGAATACTGCCATCTCAACTTGAAACCTTAACACAGCAACGAATCATTTGAAACCCCAACGCTAACCCATTTCGAAAAGCCCAGTCCTCGTTCCTATCTCGAAACATCCACTTTAAACCCCAGTGTTAAATATGAGCCCTTCCCGCAGCCTTGGTCAAAACCCGAATCCATATTTCAGAGCCAAAGACTGTCTTGGAACCCTAACCGAGCTTTTAGACACTCACTTGAAGGATTCAAACTTGGTTCAAGATTTTAAACTAGGGCTAGGGTTTCCAAGGCGAGTTTCAAACAGGGGTTCAGGCTTCAAAGTCAGGTTTCAGTCTCGGATCAGGGTTTCTAAGTAGGGTTTTGTAACAGGGTTAGGGTTTCAAAGTTCGGTTGGGTTTTCAATGTAGGGTTTGAAATTAGGGTTGTGCCCTCTACCTTGAGCAAACAGGCGTATCTGCTCTTTGGAGTGTGAAGTCAACGTGGGTCTTGGATTCAAATTAGGCGTCTTTGATGGAAGTAAACTTCCAACAGTTGTTTGAAGGACGTCGTCTTTGATGTATGAAACGTGTCGCTCTTTGAAGGGTGGAAGCAAGTGCCTTCGGTGTTTTTCAAGTGTGCAAGTAAACGTGTCTTTGATGGAACTCTGAGGAGGAAAAACAAGCAAAACAATGCCGCGTTTTGGTCCCTTTATTATTGAATACCTTAAGCACATTTTCAAACAACCAAACAAGCAAATCCAAAAACACTTTGCTGGACAAATCATCTCGTTTTTTTGTTTTTTTTCTTTCTCATGATGCAAAACAAATTTCAAAAGAAAATCCTCCAAGAAACCAAATCTAAAATGGAATCAAGTGTCTTAAGTGCAGCACTCAAAAGCTTCACTATTGAGCCCACAAAAATGAAAAACAAGAAACATAAGACAGAGAAGAAAAGCAGACTGAACACCAAAGCAAAGAAAAAAACAAACAAACAAAAGGGGGACGGAGATTGCCCACGTGGCGCAAAAAAAACACAATAAATCAAATAAATAAAGCATTTGAAACGCACGGCCACATGCTGCACACAATAAACCGAATTGAAAGGTCGCTCGTCATCTTCAACAAAACAAATCGAATCATCGCGTCGCGGTAATGACGAGAAAAACATCGCCGGCGGCGCAACTGGCGAGTGGCCAACTTTCGCTAGCGCAACGAAAAGACCACTTTTACTTTTCAACTAGAAAGACAGGCAGCGCCCGTTCACTTTTCATTTTTGGTCAGCAAAATCCATCACCAAAAAAAAAAAAACAAAACAGGATTTTGTCAATTTTGTGTCATCGCCCTGTCTGGGATACGTGCCTGAAATTCGGTAGCAATCAGAAAGACGCCTGGAACATGGGCCCAAAATGGAGCTTCAACTCAAAATTCATGCATCTTTTCTTGAGACTTTTTGCGGGTCTGTTTATGATAGACACGTCGACCAAAAATTCATGTTGTGAGGATTTGATGTGGCTGAATTTCCAAATAAATCTAAAAAAAAAAAAAATGGCAGACTTCCTGTTCTCATCTTGGAAACAGCTTCTTGTGTCTTTTTATGGGTCGAGTCATGCTTGACACGTCAACCAAAATTCATGACACTCAGAGAAACTTGCACCGGGGGCTGCGTTTCCCAAAGTACGTATCTTTGGGAACTGACCCTGGATCGGTCGCTTCCAAGCCTAAATGTCGGACTTCCCGGTCAGCTTCTTGAGAATTTTGTGGGCCTACTCCTAATAGTTGTGCCCATCAAATTTCAAGTGAAATAAGCTTCAGGGGGCAGATTTTGCAAAATAGGGTTGTCAAACTGAAGTCAACTGGACGTTTGACAATGGCGGCTGAAGAATCTTATTTACAGCTCAGCCGGATGCGCTTGAATGCGTCCAACATCCGACCGAGCGCTTTCACGCTGCCTCGAGAGGCGTAACGGTAGAGCCGGCCGGCCTTCGGTTACCCCGCTTTCAGCCGAAGGTCACGGTTGTGCCTTTTTGTGTTGAGATAAATTGGACATCGATCGCTTTCAACACAAACTCAAAGGTGAACTTCAAACCACGCACACGGGAAAAAATCTCGGTCACGGTCGAGTCTGTTTTTTGTTTTGTTTTGCCCGCCCGCCCCTTTCAGACGAAACTTGCGGCTTTGCAGATGAAGATGATTTCATCTCGTTTGCTTTCGACACAAATTTGCCCATCGACTTCTAACCGCCTCCATCGGTACTTTCCACGGACAGCGGGAAGAGCCATGGAGAAAAAAAAAAAAAAAAAAAAAAA